GTCTAGAATGTATTCGTCCAACTGAAGCAAGCGAAAAACATTTTTTTAAAGTAATTTTATTGTAAATTATTTTCGTCGGAAACCTCCCCCCACTCTTTTTTGCCCTTTTTTTTTTTTTTTTTTAGGCAAATAGTGAAGAAAAAAATGAACGATTCAAACGCGGGTAGGTGTCACTGAATCCAGGCTACTAACTTTGTTCTGAATGTTCCGGATATTTGGATGTTTTGTATTTATGTGGTGAGAGTGAAATATATATATCTATGATGATAAATGAGGTGTATTTTTGTCTTATATTTGAAGGATAAAAAAGAAAAAAAAAAAAAAAAAAAGAAAGAAAAGAGCGAGCCAGCAAATGATAAGTCTCGGCGTTGGGACTCCGGGGGCAGAGGGTGGCAGTCCCCATAGTTCGGGGCCCTGCGACTGGTACCTTGAGCTCCTGGGATGAGGTTTGGGGCGGATTTGGGGTTTACGGAGAGGCAGTGACTTCTGGCCAAGACGATTTGTTCCACTTCCTTGAGTGTTTCACTGTTTCTCTGTCTGCCCCTCTGGTGTCGGCCCCTCAGACCCTCCTCCTCGATTTCCCCACTGCGTAATTCTTGGTTTATTTAGGAGCTGGTCTCCGGACACTCTAAAGTCTCTGCCTCCTAAAGGTTCGTTTCTAGAGTCTTCCAGCTGCATCTTCATGCCGGCGGCATTTTGGATTTTGTGCAATAATGGGGCCCAGAATAGGCAAGGTTTTCTTTTCTTGTGACTTAGAATGAGGCTCTCCATCGTCAAAGAGAAACTTTGAGGGAGCGGGAGACCGAAATAGATATTAATTCCTGCAAAGAGACCTCTGGCCCCACCTCATCCCGGTGCTTCTGCGGATGTAGACGTCCCAAACAAATCTTGGGAAGCGAGGAGGGCCGGGGAGGGCACTTCAGGACAGGCTCTCCTAAAGCGTGTGCAGCCCCGGACTCAGTCCGCGCAGCCGGCGCAGCGGCCCTGGCTCCTTCCTGTAGCGCCCGCACACCTGGGTGTTGCAGGGACCCCCAGCTCCCTCGCGGCACCGGCACTTGCCAGGCCTCACAACCCCTACTCCTGTACTGTGCCTGAAGCTGAGATGGAGGCATCCAAAATAAGGCGGGGCACAGTGTGGGCGGCAGAGACCCTGAGCTGAGTTTGGGGCACTCGCCTGGAGCTCGGCTTTTTGCTGAGATCACAGCAGCCGCCCACAGACAGTTCACTGCTGTTTCGCAAAGTCGCTGCAGATCCCTCAGCTTCGCTACTCTTGGCTCTTCCCCTCCCTGTCCGCCTCTCTTTCCGTTCTCTTGCTTGAAATTGCTTTTCCTTTTCTGCTCTTCGTTCCTGTCCTGTAAATCCCTGCGCTTCCTCTAAGGAGTTCTCTCTCAGTGGTGTGGGCTCCTCTCTCCTTCCCACTGCCTCTCCCTCCTCCATTACTTCTTCCTTCCAGGTTGTTGGTCTCTCTCTCTCGGTTTTCTTCTCCTGTTCAAGAGTTCCCAAAGGCCAAGGCAGTGGGTGGCTCTGGCTGCAGATTCAAGGCTGGTGGCTGGGGACCTCCAGGGGTGAGAAAAAAGGGAGAAGGTGGCGTAATATTTTGGAACAAAAGAAAACACAAAATCCTAGCTTGGGATTCCCAACAAACTCAGCCTTCTTTTCCAGGGGCCTCAGCCTGGAAAGTCACCAAGCAGATCCATCCTTCCAGCTTCCTCCTCTTTCTCCTTTTTGCTTTCTTATCCATGAAAGAGGGAAGGACCAGTCACCCCATCACTTCTGCTCTCACATCCCTTCCCTCCCTGGCTTTGGGAAGAGCTGCTGAGCTCTTTGCCTGTCACTCAGGGAGTGCAATTGTTCTTAAAGAGCCTCTTCTGCATAGAAAAATAATTGCAATTTTAATTAAAAAGCATTTATAGACAATTCATTTAATTTTAGTGACTGTCGTATTTTCCCTCCTTCCCCAGGGGCCTCCAGTAAGCTGCCTTGGTCCCTGGAGGCCCCCTGTGAGGCCTCTGGCTTCTAAATGGAGACTCACAGGCCTTGGAGAGGGCAGGTAGCCTCTATGCCAATAGCTGAGCCTGCCTGGGGAAAGGTAGAAGGAGGAACAGCTGGAGGACGGGAGAGCTGAAAGGAATCTCATGCTCAGGCCTGCAAAAAGTAAAAGCCAAGTTGTTTCAGAGCAGAAAAGAAAAAGGGAAAAAACCTCTTAGCAAACTCCTGTGAGTTTGAGGGTCAGGTTCAAGAAAGATGTGGGAAATTACTTGGGGAGCTAAACAGGACACATGGTCATATCCACACTTGCATTTGATCTAATCTTGAGCCAGAATGTATTCATAAGTAGCATTTAGCAACCCTTTATAGTTTACAAATAGCATTTTACATAACACCATTCTACTATTCCTCATGGTGGCTTTGGGAGGTCCAGCTCCATTTTAGACTCATATACAGGACTGGAGCAAATAACTTGCTCAAAGCCAGGTAGCTGGTCAGAACCCAAGACTGGAAGCTCCCCCTAGGGCCAGAGACCTCTTATTTCACGTTTTTTTTCCTCTCTTCCTCCTTTACCCCCTCCTTCCCTCTTCCCATTCTCCATTCCTCCCTTTCCCTCTCCTTTCTTACTTTCCTTCTTTTTGTGCCCACAGTTTCTGGATCTTGGTACCTGAATTCTTTAGCTTATTTGCACCTACATGTGCTAATGTCCATTTCTATCCCTCTTTCAATTATCACAGCTGCTGAGGATTTACTTGGTGCCCTCATCAAGAAGTTTGAATGTCTCCCTCCTTCCTGTTTGTTTGTTTTCATGCCACTGTCCCAACTCTTTCCCTCTACTTCTTCTAGAATGACATTGTTAAGACCCTTACCCTCTTCGGTCTTACACATCCTTAAAAATATTTATTTTAAAATTGAGTTTTAATTTCCATGTGGTAAACACCTTAAAGTACACAAAGCTTAACTATACAAGTTGATGAATTTTTACACACACACACACACACACACACACACACACACACCTTTTTGAATCTCTCCAATGATACCCTTTTAACTTCTTCCCTTAAGCCACATAAGCCATATGATGATACACAGTGTCTTTCTCCTGTTTGAAAAGAAATTGTGTCATATTGGTGTGCTGTTCTTGCATAGAAAGCCTTTCTAAGAAGTCTTTTTAAGGTTTCATGAACGATTTAGAAATCATGTATCTCTTCTAACCCCCTGAAGTCCTGAGTTTAAGTGGCTTGAATAAATGGCTGATCAAAACTTAAAAACATACTAGGTCAATGTTTCTCAGGATACAACTGAGGACCAGCTGCTTCAGAATCACCTGGGGACTGGCTAAAATGGCAGGTTCCTAAACCCAGTCCTATCTGAAGAATCAGAAACTGGGTTGGGGCTCAGGGACGTGTATTTTTAACATGTTTCCAAAGTGGTTCTTATCCAGACTAATATTTGAGAAGTACTGTACCAAATGGCAAACTCCCAAAACACTGCAGCCTTCTGCATCTGGCCCAGGGCCTGGCATTTGGTAGCAATACAATGAATGTTTGTTAAACAAATTAATCCACATTTTCTGACACAGTTTAGAATTTCTTGGACCACATTATGCTATTGTAATTTAACACCATTTCTGCGTCGGGAAATCTTTACATTTCAGACTCTTTTTCATTTTCATGGAGGTTTCATTTTAATGGAGCTGGTTTCATTTTAATGCAGCAGGAGAGAAAAGAGAGATCTACTTTGGTGGTTTCTCAGGTCTCTGGGAAGGTCTTTTATAAACTCAATGGGGACCACCTTCCTGGACAGGCTGCTCCCTTACAAACCTGGTAGTCTGGGGAGAGGAGGAAGAGAGCCCTTCAGGTTTGCTGAAAGGTATTCAGATGCACACCCTTCTTAGTTGGAACTGAAAGCTTCTGTCTGAAGACACATTAAGAGTTTTGGAAGGAGCAAGACCACCAGGTCCAGAGAACCGGGCATGCAATGGACATGGAAGCTGAAAATTACTTGAGTATTCTCTGATTTATGGCTAATATGAAACTAATTTTCTATTTAGAAACACATTCACCTATCTTCTTACCTTGAAACAGAAAATAAATATTGTGCTTTATGTGCCAGTGTTGTATCCATTTTAAAAAATAAATCACATCATATATATGTGTTAAATATATATAAAATTTTTTGTGTACAAGTTTTCTTCACATAAAAAAGTCTGTTATGTGTGTTAACAACGTAACATGTATAGCAATAACACACACACATATATACACACATATAAACATGTACATAGTGTTTTCCAGTATCACACAAGGTGGAGGATGCTGGTTTAGTGCACAGAGAAAAAGTAATTCATTTTAATGGTTTCTAGTTATGAGTTCCAGAGAATGACTTGGGTTTGAATCCCAGATCCACACTGAATAGCTGTGTAATCTCAAACAAATTACTCATCTGGCTGCTTTAAACCTATTTCCATGTATATCAAATGAAGGTAATAATGGCACCTATCTCATAGGATTGTCAGGGTTGTTTAGTTGGGTAAAGCATCTATTACAAGTCCAGTATAAATTATATGCTCAAATATTAGCTATTTATTATTACACTGTATTGAGATTGTTGATCTGAGATTTTCTCCGGGCCTCAGTTTCCCCATCTGTAAAATGATGGTGTTGGCCTAAAGTCCTTTCCTGAGGAAGGGGAATGTGATTTAGTCAGGTATAATGGAATTTACTCCCCCTGCCTTTAGACTGGGTATCACAGCCATTGGTAAGCATAGCATCTCTACCAAATGGTAAATTATCATTTTAATGACTTGGCAGGCAGCCCTCAGCTGTCATTTGGAGATTGCCTCATCTGAAGAGAGCAACTGTGTCCAAGTGGTTTCCAGTGATTTTCCAGGGTAGTTTCCAATGACTGG